ATAGTTGATTAGCTAAAGTATTTTGGCATGTGTCAACCTGGTATAAGCTACTGGACTATGCAAGAGTTTTGATTTTCAACAGGAAATTATGACAATGAAGACTACTATTGTGAATTTTATGACATTTTTAAGAAGTCAAGGGAAAACTATGGCAAACATCTGGAAAGGACTAGCTTTTTAAACTGAACAATAAATTATGATAAAAGAAATGCATCAAAATCTTGCTGGGTCCTAGTACTTATACAAAAGGATGACTAGATTAAAAAAAAAACAACTTTCAGTTGAAGTACATAGAATTGATAAAGCACTTAGTTGCCCTTAGCAGTTTTTATGCACACAAACTGAAGTGGAAATCTAAGATCTAGCGTAACTATCCCCAGGAAATAGCTAAGGTTTAAAAAAGCTCTTTTATACTTGGGAATAGATGTAGGTTTCCTCGTATTCTGCTCTAATAAATACTGTTGGAATATGTGGTTTCTGTGCTAGAATACTGGATACAGGAAAAAGCAAATGAATGCCTGACAAGCAGGAATGCATTATTGCAAAATTAACTTAGTTGGATGTCACCAGAACCTTAAAATTTTATTTTAGTTAGTAATTGTACAGTAGGCAATGTCGTTTAAGTGTTAATTGATAGTTTGCTAACTTCAGAAATGACTAGTGGTATTTACTAAAGTATGTATTCCAGGCCTCTCTCTAGATACTTGAAAATCAGAATACCTAAATATGAGGCCTAAAACTGACATTTCTAACATTCCCCAGGTGATTCTTATGCTCATTAAATTTGAGAATTACCTAAGTAGAGGATAGTTTTGAATCTGGTTAGTTCCTACAGCTACCTGGGTCCAAACTGAGCTGTTTATACATCAAGTTTAATGGTCAGCTTCCTTTTTAAACAATAGGATTACTGCTTAATCTAACTTTTGGGATCGCTATTGCAGCAGAAAGCAAGAGATTGGGCAGTGATGCAATGCAGAATTTCAGGCTAAACATTTACCTCAAACTTATAAACAACTGTCTTATTCCTCTTTGAATAATAATCAGGTGAACATACACATACATGCATATGCTTCACTACTTGTGCTTCACTAATGTTTCATGTCTTTATTCCTAAAGCTTAAGGGGGAAATTGGATAAAGTTGCTGTTTGTAACACTTTTGATTAAATTTCTTTCCAAAGGTATAGCAGTAAGTTTAAGTAAACCTTATCTATGATTCTCAGAAGAGCACATTTTTGACAAGGTCAATGCTTTGAGAATATACTTTTTAGCCCTGATCATATATTCCTCAGCCTCAGATCAAGAAAAGGGTATCAACATCTTTACGAATTGGAAGGCCTACAAGTTATAAAATCCAACTTTTTATTCAAAAAGGCATCCCTCTCAATGAAGATTTCTGAGTTATGTATTTTCTGCATGAACATTTTTGCTGTTGGAATCCTCATTTCATAAAGCAGCGAGTGCTGTGGGAGCGCACAGTAACATAGAACCAACTCTGTCCCACTCAGCTTCCTCCACCTGCTGGTTTGAGACTTGCCCTCTTCCTTAAGTCCTCCCTCTATTTGAAGACAGCTGTCATGTGCCCCTTAGCTGTCTCCTCTCCCATGTGCCCATCTCATTGATTCTAAGATGCACATTCTTTCCATGCATGGCACCTGGGAAATTGTTACACATTTTGTAATTGGTGGCTTGTCGTAGTTTGAGCTACTTCTTCCTTAGTGGTACACAAAATAATGATGTGCCTTACAATTGTTGGCAATTTCGTTTGCTGAAATACAGTAATTATCCCATTTTGACACTTTTTCAATAAATGACAGAAACATTCAAGATCATTCAGTTTAGCTCCTTACCTTACCTTACCCACAGAACACTTTCCATCCAGCGGGAGTCCCTGGTTATGTTCTATGAGATTCAATCTAATGCCTTATAAAGCAACTCATTTCAAAATCTTACAGACCTCAGTTATGTTTAATATTGCACTGAAACCTTATTGGTTCTGCTCTTCAGCCACAAAAATGAATTCCTCTTTCCTTGACAGCTCTTGAATTTGATACTTTAAGACACCATGTTTCCAAAGTTTATTCTCTACTGCTATAGATTCCTACTTCTGGATGGGTTTTTTTGGCATATTTTGAATTGAACAGAAAACGGGAATACTAAAACCTGCCTCATGACACCATGCTGAATACAGGACACATTAAGCACGTAAAACACTTAGTACATTGATTTGCAAATAGAAGTCATGCCTTGTCCTCTTTTGCAGTCCCCAGTCATGGCAGCTCTGAAAATACAACAGACTTCCTACCTTGTTCTGAGCATTATACTTTTCCTAATGCAGCCAAAGATTAGTATTTTGGGCAACAGACTCAGAATTTACACTGGTCTACATATGAACCACTCTTAAGCCCTGTTATATTCCACCATCCTTTCTCTTTTAGCAACCTAAGTGCAAATCTAAGTAATTATCCTGATTCAATATATCCTCCTTGATGCAACTCAACACAATTACAGGGTTTGACTCGGATCTCAATTTTGACTTTCATTGTGTTTTATTTGCTTCACCTCCTAGGTTTGTAATGTATTCATGGTATGATCTAATTCACGGGTAATGCTAGTGGCAGAAAGAGAGTGGAGTGAACCTTGTGACATAACATTAAAAGGCAGCTTTTAAAAAGACATTGCGATCTGGCTTATCTCACTCTCCAGAGACTGTCTTAATAGAACCAGTTAGTAAGTATTACTATGTCTTTTTAAATTAACTACACAGACAAACCATGGTTAAGAGAAAACTAAATATAAAGATCCCTTTTCTTTTAGACACAAGCATGTTTAGGTTTTCAGCAACTTTTCTTGCAAAACTGATCTATTAAGCATATCTAAGTGAAATAAAATAAGTGACTTAAGTGAGTCTTCCTTTGCAGCCATTCTCAAATGCCACATATTTAATGAGCAATGGGCTATATTAAACAGAATATTTAACAAAATGGAAGACCTATGGTTTTTGAATGAAGGATGATTCAGAAGAGGGGCCAATTAGAAAGGGTAGAGTGGGAAAAACTGGAAAAATTTAGAAAGATAATTGAAAATGCTTAAAAAGATTCTTTTGAAAAAATTACATCAAAAAATAGTAAATTATTTCAAAGCCCAATGCTTTAATTTGTATTTTATTTTCAAATCAAAATATCACTTATACCATTCAATCAACATGTATTTATCAAGCACCTATTGTGTTCTAAGTTCAGTGGCAAAAAGGAAAAGACCAGATAAATGGTTGGCTTTATATGTACTGTAAGAATTCAAATAAACTTTTGGTTCTTAATTAAAATTTGTTATATGAAAGGAAAACTATGTGTGAAGTGAAAAATCCCCAAAAATGGAGTTTTCAAATGAATTACTGTATCCACCACAAAAAACATAGAATATATATTTGAAGCTGAATAACTGAAAGGACTTTCCTTTGCAACTAAATAGTTTGTAAGGTTCCAGGAAGCTAACTATAGTATAACCACAAAAATTATTTAATATAATGTACACATTTATGACACTAGTTATATAGGTAAAAATTAATAAAATTTAAACCTAAGAAAGAAAATGTAAAATAATTAGTTTAGGTCATCTTCTGTACATGTATAAGTTATAAAACCAAGGAATATAGCAGTGTGTTATATTAAAGAGTTTAATATAGTATTTTAAAGATTTCATAAAGAATTTTAAAACTTGGATCTTAAGTCAAGAGCATGGTAATTTCTGATATTAACAAGCTATAAAAAGTTGATTTACATGCAAGAGTTTTCTCATTTTGATGATTCAGGGTAACTCAGAAAACGGAAAAAGTGTGTGCACTTAACTTTGTATAAGGCAATTAAAACAACTCAAGCCAAGACAACAAACCACTAGATATGAGCTATCTTGCTTTTCCAAGTCATTCACACAGCACCAATCATGATTATGGTGACACTTTATATTGTTATGTTTGTACTCATAAGATTAAAGATCCCCTTCCACTCTTTTCTTCTACCTCTCATGGTTATGTAGGAAAAGTTACATTTTACATAGCAAATTATTATGAAAAAATGTAATCTGTCTTTTTTAAAGAAACTGACTTGTAGGATTTGACACTGGTTTATGTGAAATATTATGTGTGTTCTGTGAAGGGATTTTTCACAACAATAAAATTAGGATTATATAAGTGCCATCTTTCCTATCGAAGAGATGCTTTGGTTTAAATCTGAAAGATTAAAAAATCCTGTTATTTTTATGTCAGTTTCATATCTCAAAATACATAGAAAAAAGTAAATCTTGTCATTTTATATTCCTGATAGACAAACACAGCAATGTCATAAGTGCTTCATTTTCAAGCATGATTTGGTAAATGTCAAATTTTCACTCTTCATAGAAAAATAGGTTAAAAATGAAAATTTAAGATCAAAACTCAGTGGCCCTCTTTTTACTATCTTTAGTTCTGCTTTCATAGCTTCCGTCTTCAAACATTTTAAACACAGTATTTGTCTTAGATGGAAAAGAATTCATCAACTTGTAAATGTGAAATACTCAGGCCAGCACACTGAAGAAGAAGCCTGTCCTGCCACTGCCTTTGGCTTCCCTTAACTTGAGAATTACTTCTTAAAGATAAATATCAAAGGTCTTATCAAGAAACTTCTTACAAATTTCACACAAAAGAAAAGCATTCTGATTGGGTCCCAAGAGTGATGAAGAAGTTTTATTTCTAATGCTGCCATACTCTACTTAAAAAATAGTTTTTGCTGTTTTGAACGAGGTTAACACTGAGGATGCCTATATTTTAACCCACGAGTAAAACGGTATATGGTTCCACTGAATTACTTGCCGTGACAAAAGCTGAAAGAAAACTACATTTTAATCAGTTGGCTACACCTTTCAGTTTGGTATTTGTGAAACTTTAGTTGTGAAACTTTAGGTGTTATCCTCCATTTTCATGTTGAAGAAACACTTTCACCATTTCAAATCAAAGTCAACACTGCAGTGAGGAGAGCTTTTCTACTTTATTACAAAGAGAAGAAGCCTTTATGTGGTCAGAAAATACAAGATTGATCTTTTTTTCTCTTCCTATGAAACGCTGCTGTTCAAACAGCCAGAGTGAATTGTCTCAGTTCACTTCTTTAAGTCCCATCACATTCACTTGGGTATGGATGTCCTTGGCTGCTGAAAATCTGGCCCTTTAGTGCACAGGGCGACAAAGTCCCCTGACCAGCAGTTCCAGAATGTCCCATTTTCATATATTGCATCCATGCACACCTCCTAAAAATGAGGTACAGCAGGGCAAACATTTTCCAAAATAGATGTCATATATATAATATATACACATTCGTACATACATACCTTTATTCATGTGATGTCCAAAAATTTAAAAAAAATGTACACATTTATTACAAAATCGTAACAAAGACTGGACAGTGTTTTGCTCATTCTGGAAAGATGAAGCTCAGTAATAACACAACCCTGGAAACCATCCAGAGATTGTGGCAATATCTTTCTTCTAAACAGTCAGATATTCTTGCGTTAAGCTTGGCGAAACTGCCTTTCAAAAACAGAAGGGGAAGTAAAATGAAGGAAGCAGACCTTGCTCATCTTTCCAAATGAAATACGAGAAGGATCTTCACATAAAAATGCACAAACATTTGTTATTTTATTACCAATAGTGCTACAATGAACAATGCAAATTTTGTGGTCTAATTTTGTTGAGTCTTTTGTGGGTTTTCTTTTTTACATTTTAGAAACTAAATGGTAAACTTCTGTCAGTGTACTTGCTTGTCTTTATAGACCCAAGTCTGTCTGCTGGCAAAAAAGAAAATAAATGAAAAAATTCAGACCCTGCTTGAACTAGAGAAAAACAAATTACAAATTTAGTTGTTGGGCAGCACATAATTAGTAAGGCAGGACCTCAAATGGTGACCCTTTGCATAAGCCAATTGCCAAATCCTCAAGGAAATAAAACCAGGGTGCCTGAGCCACATCAGTTCTGCAGTTATGTTGAGTATTGTGCTGAGACAGCCATACCCCAAGAAAAGGGAAGTCTTTTTTTAGAAGGCTTGCTGAGCAGGGTTGTAGTTGAAGGTGGATGGCAGGTGAGGCCGTTCTTCTAATTTGTCATATTCCAAATGGAACTCCTACAAAACCAAATTTAAGAATTTAGATGATTTCCTCTCCCTTTGCTCTCAAAGTTTTGTCAAAATACATTTTACTATATTAACAAAATACCTACACCTATGAGAATGATCACAGACAGATATACCAACTTGTTTTTCTCTTAAGTAAAATACAGCTTGAATAAAAATAATGTGCTGTAGTTTCAATCTGATAAATACAAAAATACTTTGCATAAAAAAGTCAGAGACTTCTCATTAACATCTATTTTATGACACAAAGTCTATGCATTTTTCTTTGCTCAAAAATAAAAACTTGAAGGAGCAATTACTATATCACTAATAAAAAACTGAAAATTATAGAATACAGTATCCCCCCAAAAATGTATACACACTTTGAATGATTATAAAGTCAGTGTTTATTAACATACAGTTCATTTTCAAAATTTAAAAGAATATACAGAAATGAATAATTTTTTTGTCAATGCCTGTTTTCAAACTGATGACCGTTCTGGTCCAGGCACTGCTGATAACGTGAAGCAATGGAATCGCAAACATCAAGAATCATTTTGTTCGGTATTTGTGTGCCCTCAATTCGTCGACTCTTGCTGGTTTTATCTTTTATGTATCCCCATAAAAAAAAGGCTAGTGGCACTTTAGGATACATTTTCTTTGTTCAAAGCTTAGTCTGGCTTCACCCATTATTTCAAATCAGTTAAACCTGAAAAGGAGTGAAAATTGAGTTATCAGCTGTTAAAAGTGTGTATACATATTTTGGGGTCACCCTATATTTAAAAATAAAGCCTCCTTCAATGAAGTATAAAACCTAAAAATTTACTTTTTCATGAAGAAAGTTTAGAAATAGTTTTCCAATTTGTCTTATTTTTTTTCTTTTAAGTTATTTTAATCTCATTAAAATTTCAGGAGAGAAAAAAAAAAAACACCACAAAACAAAAAATGAACTTAAAACTCTCACATCTCCAGACTTCCCATTTCACAATACCAAAATCCTGAAAAGATGCAACTGCCACCCAAAACTAGATAGTGGCTGATGTAATTTTATATATTAAAATGAAAACCATACCTCTGCAAATCCAAAGAGCAAGAGGTTCTAAAATCATTCATTCTATAACCTAAATTCATTTAGCACAAACTATCTCAAAGAGTTGATCCTATTTAAAAAATTATTTAACATGATATATTATATGCATTAAAGAAAGTCAATAGCCCTGGCTAGTTTGGCTCAGTGGTTTGAGTGTGGGCCCATGGACCAAGCAGTCTTGGATTTGATTCTGGGTCAAGGGTACATGTCTGGGTTGCAGGATCTGTGCCCTGGGACTCGTGCAGGAGCAAACTGATCGATGTTTTTCTCTCCCTTCCTCTCCCTTGCCTTCTACTCTTTCAAAAAAATCAATGGAAAAAATATCCTTGGGTAAGGATTAACACACACAGACACAAAAAAAGAGCCAACAAGTAATATTAGTACTATGGGTTACCATATTTTACCTTATCTGTCTTGTTTTGAATTGATTCCATAATGAATGTTTCCATTATTAAATTAAGGGAAAAGTTCACTCTTAAATTAAAATGAACTTAGGTCATGATTAAATTTTGAGATACAACTATTTAAAAATTTACGAATATTATATTAACAATTACAGAAAGAGCAGGTATAACTTGCTGAAAATCTAGTATGTGTCAAAACTAGATATACAGCTGATTTTATTCTAATCTTTATGACAACTCTGTAGATACCACTATCTTTGTTTTGCACCTGAGGAAAATGGGGTTCACAAGTAACTTGTTCAAGTAACTTGCTCGATAAATATCAGGTCTAGGATTAGAATCCAGACCCATATAACACCAAAGCACATGACCTTCCCAGTATAACACATTATTTTTAGCCAAAGATCCAAAACAGAATCACTTTATTACACCCCTTACCTATAAATAATGTTGAAAAAATTCAGTTCACTGGCAAATATTTATAAAGAAGGCACACTGTGATGACTTTAATCTAAAAAGGCTCACTCCATAGGATTGGTAGAGTAACTAAAGCACAGTGGTTATCTGCTTCTCAGTAAAAACTAGCAAATACCATGATCACCATCACAGTCACCACAGCTCTCCCTAACGCACTGTGTAAGCACAACTCTCTTCCTAACCAGTTAGGCTTTAAAAGAATTTATTGTTTGGCTTGAAGATGAATATCCAAGTTAGTGAAGAAAATATCTTCTTGTTATAGCATTCTTTAGAAATTAAAATTAGCATTTAGTTCTAAATGATGTGTAGTTATAGGGTAAAACATCTACTTGTAACTGTGACAAATAATACATCCCACAAACTAAGTTATAAAATTTAAAATTCTGTTCAATTATCCTGTCCTTGCTATCGTACATTGGTGAACTATAAGCTATTGTATGAATTTAAATTAGAGGAACTTCATCAATGCACATATATTTTCCCTACATGTTAAAAAAGAGGTTAGTTTAAATCTAGGGAACATAAATTTTTTTTAAAAATATATTTTTATTAATTTCAGGGAGAGGGTGGGAGAGGGAGAGAAAGATAGAAACATCAATGATGAAAGAGAGTCATTGATCAGCTGCCTCCTGCACAGCCGTCCCTGCTGGGGATCGAGCCTGCAACTCGGACATGTGCCCTGAGAGGGAATTGAGCTGCGATCTCATGGATCCTAGGTCGATGATGCTCAACTGCTGAGCCATGCCGGCTGGGTAGGGAACATAAATATTTTAATATGATAATTAAGAGACTCTGAAAGACCTTATGTCAGATTTAGAAATTAAATATGTCAAATTTTTGTCTTTCACTTTTTAAATTTTTGTTTTTCTCTGTATTTTTATTCTTAAAATACATAAAGTTTGCAATTACACTGGTATGTCTTTGTTCCCTAACTTTGATTACATCTTTTACATGTTTATGCTATATGCACACACACAACACATATATATACCTCTGTATAATCTGTAGCGGCAAGAAGGGTCTCTTGTTTTGCATACCACTACCAACTGTCTAGCACAGTGCCAGGCCCCTAGGAGGTGTGTAACTAATGGCTGATGAGTTAATAAACACAGTTTTCTTCATTTCTTTTAGAAACAGAACATTTAATTTCTGAAGTATTCAAAGATTAGGTATTAAAAGATCTATGTATATATTTGCTTTAATGGGGAAAAGATTTTTAGATTACAGTTTAATGATTTTAAAGGCTAGAAAGAGTTATAGTTTTTAAAAATAACTTTTAATGTCTTAGTTTTTCTATTAATAAAATTAGGTTACATATTCTCAAAAGGTTACTATGAAGCACAATTGGAATATGTGCACTGGATTCAGATGATCACGTAAAATTATTATTACTGCTCAAATTTCACAGAAAAACACACACTGCAGGAATGTTTTCTCAAATCCTCAGAAATGTCAGCTTTCTCTTAATTATTATAATCCTAATTAAATTTTAGGAAGGAAGTAACAAACTATTTTAAATACAGTTATTAGAAATAATTTTTATTTTGGGGGAAAAAAGCACATATTACTAATTAAAATATAAAAAAGTACTAAAGCATACCCGTGAAGTTAATGAAGAAAAAACAAAACAAAAAAACACCCATATCTATATCAGGCTATGATGTGATACAAATACTAAGCATTAAAAATCCCATTCAGTGTTGGACCCAAAAGGTAAAGGTAGAATGACAAAATTCTCAAATTTGCAAGTCTTTAGTTTGAGAAAGCTATTGATAATAGGGCAGCCTCCACCACTAAAAAGTCTTTGTGGATGAAATTATTTTTCAAATTTTACTCATTAAGAATATACACACCATCTAAATTACCACAATTTTAAATCAGTAGGCATCCTTACAATCAGTATTCTGAACTCTGTATCTGATAAATTGCTTATCTCCATTTCATTTAGTTCTCTGTCTGGAGACTTCTCTTGTTTTTTCATTTGGGGCTTGTTTATTTGTCTCACCATTTTGGCTGCCTGTTTGGGTTTGTTTCTATGTATCAGGTAGGCATGCTAGGACTCAGTCTTTTTGGAGGGTCTCTGATGCAGGCCAATGTCAGATGCTGTTTGTGACTGGCCTTGAGGACCCTGTTTGGAGCTATTAACAACCTTGGCTTGAGGTCCCCTCTGTTGGGGCTGGGTGGGTCTGGGAATGACCAAGATGCCCACCAGTCTGCTTTTCCAAGGTACCGGTCCAGAGGCAGATCAGGCAAAGACTTAAAGCGCTCTGAGGTCTGCCTCTGTAATTCCAGCTAATTCACAAAGGACAGACCACATAGCCTGCAGACAAGTCAAGATTATCTAAAAGGGGAGAATAAGCAAATACAGTGTCAAAAATTTTATGTATGTAAATTATTGACATATAGGAAATTCTTTAAATAAATAATGGAGCACATCTTTGGATAAGAAATACTTCTGATTTTAATCTAATCCCTTACTTAGTATTACAATTCTTCATTTCTCTGAAAATATTAAGTGATTTGCAAAAGAGAAAGGAAGAACCTCACATATAAGATATTCTGGATGGAGACCTGATTATGGCTGAATCAGGCCAATACTTTTCATGATGCCATGATAAGAATGAGTAGTAGTATTTATGATACCATGATAACATCAATTAGTATTACTTATAATACTAATTCACAGGCTTCTTACATGAGTTGAAGCTATTTAATGCATGCTCTTTATCTGTGAATAGTAAGCTACTCCTACTTTACAGATGAGGGCTTTGAAATTAAGTCGGGACATGGCATTTTAATGGAGTTTGTGTAGTATAATGAAATGTGTTAATAAATATAACTATGAATGAAACTAACTTCTTAATTCCTAATCCAGTTTCCAGGAAAACAGCCTTAAAAAAAAACTGAAGTCACTATAAAAGTTTATTCTGTGAATACAATACAACTTAAGTTTTAATTTTATGAACCTGTATTTTAATACAACCAAAAGAAATTACTATTTGATAGAAACCAATAAATTCCAATTACTTTCATCACTACAAAAATAATTTTGTTAAAGAGTATCAGTGCAAGTGGCCAGCAAATTACTTCAAGAGAGATTTCTTAGGGAATAGTTTAATATTTCCCAAATTTTATTTTCCTACATCACTAAAAATATTAAAGGAAAAGGTTGAGAAAAACCTCAACAATAAAGGAAAGATAAAATAGGGTAAAATTATTTTGGGTGTGAGGGTTTACATACACAAACAAAATACTCTTTAAAATGACATTTATCTGACTAAGGAATTCCTTTTGTGAGAGAATAAAGGGGCCCTATTAATGTGTAACAGGGACCCTATTTAGTTGTTTCTGAATATTTAACTTTATGGGGGAAAACTTAGTTCTACAGAAAACAAATTTTTTTCACATAAGTTGATTTCTTCACATATACCAAACTAAAATTTATCTAAAATTATATATCTATCTACTTCAAACATCCATCCCTGTTTTGCATACACTAAATTTGGAATAATTTGCAAACTTTAGTTATTTCCTAATAGAATATTTTGTCCTCTAAAGATACTTTTTCTCTCCTGTAGAATCAACTAACAGAGTTTCTGAAAGTATGGTTCCAGACAAGGACCAGCATCATCATTGGCATCACTTGGGAACTACTAGAAATGCAAATTCTCAGGTCCCATCTACAAACTTACTAAATCAGAAACAATGGAGTATGGCCAAACAATCTGTGTAAAGATCCCTAGATAATTTTGATGTAAGTTAAAATTTGAGGACCACTGACCTAACAATAATCAATTATCATTTTTCTATCTTTGGGGCGGGGGGGTAATAAGCTGTAATAACAATGATGATAGAAATAGCAACAAACTACCACAACTACTCATCTATCAATATCTAATACTCAGTATTTGCCAAGCACTACACTTAGTATAAATGTGTTTGTGTGTAATCTCATTTAAACTTCATGACACTCTAGAGGCAGTGTTTTGATTTAAAAGGTAAGGAAAACTTGCACAAGGTGAAAGCATTAATAGCAGAAACAGGAGTTAAATTTAAATCCACGACACAAAGATTATGGCTTTCTATTACACTATTACTTCTTAAAGAACAGGTAATATAAACAATGTCTCATGTACTATTTGTAATGAATATAATTATTTCTACTTAACTAAAAGGTTAGGAGATGGGTCTACCATCTATAATCAAGATATGCATAATAATTAGAATTGTTAAAATAACTCAAATACAGTATACAGTGGTATATGGACTCGGTCTGAGAAGTAATGACATTTATCATTGAGAAACACCAAAAAATATTAATTTAAAAAAAAAAATTAATCTCTTGTATGTGTCTTGTTCTGGTGTTTCTTGTTGGGCTTGTCTTTTCCTGTTTCTTTTCGCAAGTTTTATTTAAGACCTTATAATATAAAATTTTTTTTTATAAATATCTGGTAAGCATTTTATACTGTCTTCTTAAAATGTTTGACCTTTTTATCAGTTTAGTAAAGCTGACTCAAAAGAAAAAAAGCCCAAACCAACAACTAAAAAATCATCCAATGAACTGTCTTCTGTTTCAAACATCTTCAATGAGTGCAAGTGTTTTAAAAAGTCTTTATCTGTTTATATACTGGTTTTAGGGAAATCTCATACTTGCTTACTTAAAAGTAATAATAATATAATACATGACTGGGATTGCACAAGGGTATCTTTATTTTACAATTGAGTAGAAACAAAAATATTTAAAATGTTACCAAGACTTTTGAAAAATTATAAAATTTCTTACCAAGTTCAATCATTTTTCTAACTGTGATAAAATGAACTGTTTCTGCATACTCTCCTAGAGTTAAATCAAGCCAAGGAGGCAGAGACTAAAGAATTCCCAAGTATCTGGCACATTACTGAAATGAATGCACTGGTACATATATAGACAAAAGAGGTCACTTCTTTATAAAATCTAGATTTATACATTTACACATGAAGAAAAATATACCTTAGCTACTTTCCTCCAGTTAAGACAGTCAAAGAAGTAATATGTTCCCCTCTCATATGTATTGGTTTTCATTGTTGGCTCCATGCCTGGTGCCCTGGTAATCCATACTCGTTCTTCTTTGTGGTATCTCCAATCACGGTTAAAACTTCAATTTTTAAGAGAAAAAGACAATTAATTTTTTCCTGTGGCTCACATTTTATAAAACTTTTCTTAGAAAGTAACTACATATAAAATACATAAATATGAATGCTGCTTTGTCCTGACTTTTATTGTTATTAAATACAACCCTAGTGAAATAAATATAAGAAAATAATTTTTTTATGTCTCCAAAACTTTTACTGCAAACAAAATGAGATCTTAAAAGCTCTCTGAGTGATGTGGTAAAATTTTAGATCAAATAAAGATACATTGTGTTCCAGAAACTTCACTCCTTTCTAGCTCTTTTTAATATTCAATAGAAAATGAGATATCTATTAAAACAAACAAAACCCTCAACTATTCGAATTATGTTGTAGGCAACTAAATACAATGTCTATTTGAATTAACAATTTAAATTCACACAAAGCCTTCCTACCATTACCATGAGGTAATTTTTAGACATAAGATATGAGACAAAACTGCCAGTGACAGATGAATGAATGAATTTATTTAATTATAACTTAAAATGAAGAGTTAGCAATTATTATCTTACAAAAAAGGTGCAAAGAACATGGGAAAAAAACAAATTCTCAATTGAGAAAAAAAAAAAAAATTTATTATCTGCACAGTGAATTTTACATTTAAGTATCTGATCCAAGGCCATTTGTAGAAATATTATAAGGAATATGATAAAATACTTAAATCTGTAAAAATGTCTCCTGATCATAGCATCATAGTAAACATGATTAGAATGACTAATATGTTACAAACTGGACATAAGAGAAGCAACACACACTTTTTATTCTTAGGACATCAGTAAAAACAGAAATGCTGAGGAAAAAAACCATATCCGTGGACCAAATTCTTGACACTAATTTAAGTTGGCCAGTAGGCTCCTGATAATGAATGTGAAATTTATTTTATTAATACTTCAAAACACACAAGATATATGTACAGTGACTTGCCCGTATATTTGATAGACATTTATTAAATGATGAAATTCACTGTCATTAACATATGTGGTTCCACAAGGAGTAAGATGAACCACAGTTATGAATCATATCTTATACTTCATATACTTATAAAAATTAGATTCACTAAATTCATGATTCAAGTAGATTCTGTCTTCAGGCTTCTTACAAACTTAGGATTAAGCTTAAAATTCTTTATGTACACAATGATTGTGAAGCCATGGTAATCTAAGGTTTCAATCTAAATTAACTTTATTTTACTAAATGTAAAAATAAGTTTCTTGATGGAGAAATATTTCCACTTTAAAAACAAAAGACAAAAACTACAGCCATTGTCTTTTTCTTTTTTAAAGCAGAATAAACAAGATCCACTATAATACAAAAGTATTTAAAAAATACTTTGAACATACAGCTCTACTGCAGCTAGAAGTTGTAATACATCTCCTCCATTCATGTAATAGAGATAGAAGAGAAGATCTTCTCCGTATCGGCCAAGCTTTATTGCAGCCAGCTGGAAAAGAAAAATAAATTATTCTGAAATGTAAAACAAGTCTGCAAGTCCTAACATATAACTGCGACCACTAAAGTAAAAACAGAAAGAGAAACAGAAACTCTTCTCTTTGTAGCAGGTAACTGTTATTACGTGATTACACAGCAGTTATAATTCTAAAGGGGAGTTTCATCATTTAGGATAGTTTTGTCATTTAAGTGACTAAAATCATTTAACAATTATTTCTGGTACATCTATTTTATGTACAAATATGGGGAAAAAAAGCTAAATAAAAACTTCAAATTGAGTTCATATGCTCAATGTCTTACTTGAGGGATTTATTAGATACCCAATGTGGGAGTAATAGTGAAACATTGTGCTCAGAGATGCAGGACTTATATTCAAGACCTAGCTCCATTANACACTAATTTAAGTTGGCCAGTAGGCTCCTGATAATGAATGTGAAATTTATTTTATTAATACTTCAAAACACACAAGATATATGTACAGTGACTTGCCCGTATATTTGATAGACATTTATTAAATGATGAAATTCACTGTCATTAACATATGTGGTTCCACAAGGAGTAAGATGAACCACAGTTATGAATCATATCTTATACTTCATATACTTATAAAAATTAGATTCACTAAATTCATGATTCAAGTAGATTCTGTCTTCAGGCTTCTTACAAACTTAGGATTAAGCTTAAAATTCTTTATGTACACAATGATTGTGAAGCCATGGTAATCTAAGGTTTCAATCTAAATTAACTTTATTTTACTAAATGTAAAAATAAGTTTCTTGATGGAGAAATATTTCCACTTTAAAAACAAAAGACAAAAACTACAGCCATTGTCTTTTTCTTTTTTAAAGCAGAATAAACAAGATCCACTATAATACAAAAGTATTTAAAAAATACTTTGAACATACAGCTCTACTGCAGCTAGAAGTTGTAATACATCTCCTCCATTCATGTAATAGAGATAGAAGAGAAGATCTTCTCCGTATCGGCCAAGCTTTATTGCAGCCAGCTGGAAAAGAAAAATAAATTATTCTGAAATGTAAAACAAGTCTGCAAGTCCTAACATATAACTGCGACCACTAAAGTAAAAACAGAAAGAGAAACAGAAACTCTTCTCTTTGTAGCAGGTAACTGTTATTACGTGATTACACAGCAGTTATAATTCTAAAGGGGAGTTTCATCATTTAGGATAGTTTTGTCATTTAAGTGACTAAAATCATTTAACAATTATTTCTGGTACATCCATTTTATGTACAAATATGGGGAAAAAAAGCTAAATAAAAACTTCAAATTGAGTTCATATGCTCAATGTCTTACTGATACCCAATGTGGGAGTAATAGTGAAACATTGTGCTCAGAGATGCAGGACTTATATTCAAGACCTAGCTCCATTACTTACTAATATACCATGTCCAAGTAAGTTAATGTCTCTAAACTTCAATATAAAATGTAGACAACATCTTATAATGGTTACTAAGAATGAAAATGAAATTAACTAAGTGACTGCATGTAAACACTATGTAGAATGTCTGATAGAAGACTTAAGGAAATGTTATTGAATCTACATCTGACAGCGATTCACAAATCAGCTGGTTATGTATATTTAGCAAATTGTGTATGTTAAGTACAAAAATCACAAAGAGATTGCTCTTTATTTTAAGTAAATGAGTAAAATATGACCACTTTACATGTCCCTCCAGAAAGCAGAAACATAATTACCAAACTAAAAAACATAAGTGAGTTCAATAGTCTTAAATTCTCATATTAATATAAATCTTTATTAAATGCTCACCAAAATAAAAATACTTTTTATCTCTTTACTTAATCCTGTATCTAAATATTTACTTAACTCTAACACATTCTCTGAATATAACTTTTCTCTCCATATTATCCCCATTCAGGTGGTAGTCTCAAGTGTGTTAAATCCTCTTAAATTAGTATTTCTTAAATTGGCATAAGAAATGGTTCTGGTATCCTTAGGTATTGGGAGCAAAAGAGCCCTATAGTGGAGGTGGCAGCAAATCACACAATCCAAAGACAGAAAAAGCTAGCTCTATCTCATACTTATCTTCCACCTACTCAAGTATTAAGACATATTGAGAAATATACCTCTTTACTTGCCTGTCCACAACATCAACACTGATTTCACTACACAACTACACGGTACAGATGCAGAACACTGTCATTTACTTTAGACATTATACACATATGAATAACACAAACATATAATTTTGATACATTATATCCTTTCACAAGACCAAAGTCTAGACACCATTTCTAATAAAAATAAAGTCTTAGTTCTTTTCCCTAAAGTGAGTATTTACCACTTTCTTTCTTTGATTAAGAAAAAAAAAGATTAAAGCTGTAACCTATTAACAGTTACTTTATAACAAGAATTTTAGGTAATTCAAAAATAGAAAAAAAAATACAGAAAAAAGGCAAAAGTCACAAACCGTTTTTAAATACATAATATATAGTTCCATTAAAAATACTGTGTCCATAATACATGTGAAGAGGAATCTTTCTTAATGATAAGGCATAAAATTAGAACATCAGAAGGAATTTATTAAATATTCCAAGTTAGTTTATTCCCATCAACTGTGGTTACGGTTGTACCCTGTTACTAATAACTATATACTATTTTACCAGTCCTAATATTATTTTGTTTTAAAAATATAACTCAGAATCTCATCAAAACATTAAGATTACAAACAAAAGCAGAAATAAAATTGTTATATATAACTGAATGAACATATGAAAGCATACCCAAGACCACTAATTATTTCAAAATATTATGCTGTCTGAACTGAAAAATAGTGCCTGAATATTTATAGATAAATTCATGCTGACTGAGTAGAATAATAAACTACACTCACCTTATCCCTAATGTGAATGTTCGTTAAGTACTCAGATGGAACATGGAAGTCTAGATAATAAAATAAAAAAAGCCTTATTAACTGATTCTCAGTTACAGATACATTTTTAAAAGTCTGAACACAAATATAATCTCCTACCTATGTCTTGAGGTCGACAAGGTGAAGATGCCCAGGGTGATGCAAATTTGGGGTAGAGATTTCTGAATAAAGGAGGGGAAAAAAAAACACTCTGAAGTCCAGGGTAGAAAAAAAGATTTCTAATTTTAGTTCAGGAAATCAGGAAAAGCAGTAACTTCAAAAGCATTAACTTCTTACTTCTAATTTCCTTTTTTGGGTTTACTATGACATATACAGCAGAAAACTGAAACAAGGTTTTTATATATACACGGGTTGGCAAAAGCAGGTTTACAGTTGCACTGTGACATTCTTTTGAGTTAATAAAGCAATTGTAATAATCATAACCTGCATATCTTTTTTCTATATGAACTATAAACCTACTTTTACCCACCCCTGTACATATAGATAACTACAGATATCTATATATATGCTTTGAATTCATTAATACCATGCCCACAAGTAAAATTACTCCCCCATTTATATGGCCAGGAAAAAAATTATTAAAAGCAAAAGTTCAAATTGATCACATATTTATTGAGTACTCATTATATGCGTGGCACCGTTACAGGTAGGTGCTTGGGGTACATCAACAAAAAAAGTAAAGATCACTGACAAAATGAACTTACTTTTTGGTTCAGGATGGTGGATTGGAGGAAGGCAGACAAAAACAACTTGCATAATAAATAATATTCCATGTTAGTGGAGGGGCAGAGAGGGGAGATTAGTTCCATAATTAAATAGGGTAGTCAGGTTGGGTGTCATTTAAAAGGTCAGATTTGAACAAAGACCTAAAGAATGTAAGGGAATTAACCATATTATTTATCTGGCAGACTATCCTAGTCTGAGGAAGCTGCTAGAACCACTAAGGCAGTGATATGACTGGCATGTCTGAGGTACAGTAAGAAGGCCAGTGAAGCTGGGACAGAGTGAACAAAGGGGGAAGCTATCACAGAGAGACACAAATCAGGCCTGTAGATATTAGGAGGCCTGTAAAGATGTTTGGTTTTTAATCACAATGAAACTGTAAATCCTTACTGGGTCTTGAGCAGAGGACTAACTTATTCAAAAAGAATTGTCCTGGCTGCTGTATGAAGAAGATATTGCATGGGGGACAGGGGGAATGAGAAATACCTAGTGATTGGCTAATGGAGTAATCCAGGCAAGAGAGGATGGTGATTCAAACCAGGGTGGTAGCAGTTAAAAGTAGTGAGAAGCAATAATTCCATTATGTCCAATGTTGCCAATAGGTCAAAAAGGGTAAGTTCCTGGAAGTGACCATTGCATTTATTAACACTGTGGTCATTTGATGACCTTGACAAGAATGGTTTTAGTGTAGCAGGAACAAAATATTAACTGAAATGGTTTTAGCCAAGAATAGGAAAAGACAAATGGGATTTACAGATTTGGCTCTTTTGAAGAATTTCACTTCAAATGAGAATATAAAAATGGGGGGATATTAGATCAAGAAGTACTTAACATGAAAGAGGTAATAGCATGTTTGTATGCTGATAGAAATAATCCAACAAAGTGCAAAATACTGGGAAAGAATGGATCAACTACAGCAATAGTGTGGAAGATAAGAGTAAGGAGGGGTACAGATGGTAGTAAATAGATTTGGTAGGAGGACTATGCTGACATTCTCTTCTGAACGCTTCCATCTTTCTTAATAAAGTAGAAATAATAAAACAAGGCCATCATCTGAGAGTAAGGACAGGGGTTTGAATAGCAAGTATAAAATAGCTGCATAGGAGAGCAAAAGAATGAATGGACGAGGCATGCCAGTTATGATTATGGTTGGCAGAACTAAGGTCCTACTTTTTTGGTTCCTGGCCTAAAGTGAAACCAGGCAGTGAAGCTGTAAGTTTTTCTCCCACCAACCTCTGCAGCACAGGTCAAAAATAGAATAGTTGGAGATATAACCTGGGTTGTAGTTTTTGCCATGCAAGTATGACAAAGCAGGAGAGAGGCAAAGTAGTCAAGGGTATATGTAGATGAGCAGTATGACTGACCACAGAATTTAACTGGATAAGAAGTAAGTTCACTGCAGGCAAAGAGAGCCAGGGATGTTTAGGAACAATGAAAAAGTAAAAGAATGGACTGAAGGTCCCAATAGAGTCAAATGATTACAGGACCAGTACTAAAGGGAGAGAGACAGAAAACAGGAATTGGCATGGGAGCACAGGCTTAAAATTACAGAGAAACTAAAGTTACTAGTAATGTCAAGGTCAAAAGGATGACTAAAGAGGTGAGTAGGTGAGGTATGATAGAGGGCAAATTTTCTGAAGGAGAGAATTCAAGGAACCAAGATGTCAGGATCTGGAAAGATCATATATGTATATATGTGTTGAAAATGCCAAATTATAGGAGGAACAATGAGCTAATACGAGAGGGAATGATCTAAAAGTCAGTATATAACACCAACAATCAGTGGCAGCAGGTGATACAATTTGATGACATAAAATTAAAAACAGAGTTTGCAGGAATGTGGAAGAAAAGAAAAAAACTTACTCAGGAGAGTTCAGATTGAGGCCTAATGTTGTTAAGTCACTTCCTAATGCAAGATGTACCATTCCTGGGTCTGTCTCTGCTGCCCTGATAAATGTTAACAGGCCAATCATTCCAAACTGGTCCGTCACCATCCCTTGAGGAATGTTAGTAACTCGACCTGGATAAGAAGAATAAAGTCTTTTTATCTTTGATGAAAAAGTAAAAAAAAAAAAAAAAAAA